ACTACTAACTAACTGTAAAAGCAATTCCTAGTATGGAGAATGACAGCAGATTCTTTTTTAAGAATCATGCAACCAGTAGACAGAAACAGTGTCACTGGTACGCTGCTGGAGAATCACTTTTATCATGACATTCTATAGAGAGCAAAAATGACTCTCAAATAAGGAAGTGCTGCTATTCATATGCACAACTTCCACAAAATAAGTTTTTAAATAAGGGTCAAACAAAGGACAGTTCATCCATCACATAACCAGCAATTAGAAATACTAAAAATTATTCCAGTAAAAGAAAATGGTACAAAGGCATTTAGATCTAAGAAAGAAAAGCATAAGTAATGTCAACCAGGTCGATAAATTGAAGTGCTAAATACACAGGGCAGGGTTGGGCACACCGTTAATACCAGCACTGGGGAGACAAGAGGCAGGCGGGTCTCTGATTTCCAAGCCAGCCCAGTCTATGTAGTGAGTTCCAGGACAGCCAAGACTACATAATAAAGACACTTTCTCAAAAAAAAAAAAAAGGGGGGGGGGGGAGGGAGTGGGGTTGGGGGCAGAGCTGCACGTACAAAAAAAAGTACTAAGTACATCAATATTTACTTCCACAATGATCTTACCAAAGACATTACATTTGTTTTGTACCTGTTTTTGCTTATGAATATGAAGCACACTTCAGTCACTAAAGCCCTAAAATCTTAAGCCACTATAGAATTTATCTGTTCGTAAAATACTCTTCACATTTGTAAGAGAATTTGGAATATCCTGGGCACAAAAATCTAAATCAAATATTAAAAGAAATGTGGTTGTTATGGGGGCACCAATAACAGTTAATCCATGTAGCCTTAAACAATACTACTAATTCATATGTTTGGCAGAGATACCTAACCCTTCAATTCAGTTGTGGTTCTTAAAACTTCATTCCATTTTATGCTGAGGTGCAGCAATTAATTCCAAGTACTAGGTGCTATCTCCTTTCCAAATCTAGAAACCACAAGTATCAGGAATCTTTACAGGAAAAGTATCAGGAAAAGGCAGTTTATGTTTGAACTGAATAATCTTTGTACATGGCCTACGCTGGCATTATTCTATCTCGTTACTTAGAAACTTTGGCATTTGTTTTGAAAAGCATGTTAGCATATACCAAAGGCATGATTTACTTTGGAAGACTATCTTACGGTCAGTGATTTGGACTTTATAAACTAGGGTCTCTACCCCAAACTGAAAAGATGATCCACACATCAGCCTTCATATATGGCAAGTATCTAATCTACTTCATTTGGAAGACACTGCTCAAACAAGCAGAAAACTCTAGCAAGCCAGCTCTGTCTTCTATGAAAAGCAACTTCTATGATTGATTATTCCAGGATAGAAGAAATATTTGGGGCTTTAATCTCTAACCCACTCTCCATAGAGGAAAGTTCTAAGGAATTTGAAATGAGTTATAAGAGCTATGGATTCTAACTATTCTCTATTTTCTGTCTTCTAAATATGTCAGGAACAACCATGGCACAAGTATATTGAGCAAATACAGCTTAACATGATTTCCAGAAGAGAGCACTTTGTGAGAACAAGCACATTTTAACCGAGAGGAATTTTTTCTAAAAGCATGTTAGAAGTATCATCACAACAAAAAAGTGATTTCCTTGGGTGGAAAGTCAACCTAGATAAGACCAGAATATGAGGTGCCTTCGCTGCATATTCACTCTAGTACGATGATATCAACACCATGACCTCACCGTCCTTTACTTTCTTCTTCTCCCCGCTAACAGACAAAAGGCAACTAAGACCATATGCACAGCAGGAGTAACTAACTGGTAAAAGAACAGCTATCAATTACCAGTTCAGATCCTCCTAGCAATGGGGTTGACTTTGGATAAAGAAATAACGAGCCTGGACTTTTAGGATTGAGTCTTTTTTCCCACAGCTTCTAAATATCTAAATAACTGACTCTATACACATTCTTCCTACTATCTATTAAGAATGGCAGAGAGAAGCAACATTGGCTGCATGCAATCCACCCAATCCATGTAATCTGCAGCGTAGAACAAAAAACATTAGATACTTACTCTGGGCTTGATGCTCTATCTTCTGAGATACACACCCCATTTTTGTATTGGAAAAGTAAAATACACGAGGTGATAAACACACAGTAAGATTAATCCTTAGTACCACAGTAAATACTACACTGAGCAATCTACAGAAATTCCATTTCCAAGTCTGCTTTTAAATACAATGTTGAAATTCATCCACTAAGTAGGGAACAGGAACAAAGCAAAGGATTTCTTCAAACTGTAAAACAAAAATATACTTATGTCATTGTTGCCAAGCCACGCATGGCCCTAACAAAACTACTGATTCAAGTCTATAAACCTGCCTGCAGCTCTAAGGAAATTAGGGCACCTCACACCAGCATCAAAAAGTATTATTGGAGCTACATAGGTAGCTGAACAGTTAAGAATATGTACTACTCTTCAAGAGTATTTACTACTCTTCAGGAGGACACGAATTTGATTCACAAGACCAACATCAGACAGCCTTGAGCTCCAGAAGGACCCAACAACTCTGGCTTCTGCAGGCACCACTGTGGTATTGTGTTCCCCCCAAATATTGTGCATGCTAATAAACTTATCTGGGGTCAGAGACAGAGCAGCCACAATATTAAACATAAAGGATAGGCAGTGATAGCACACGCCTTTTATCCTAGCATTCCAGAAGCAGAAATCCATGTGTTCAAGGATACAGACAGGCATGGTGACTCATCACGCTTTTAATCCCAGAAAGCAAGCCTTTAATCCCAGGGAGTGGTGGTAGAAAGCAGAAAGGTATATAAGGTTTGAGGACCAGAAACTAGAAGCATTTGGCTGGTTAAGCTTTTAGGTTTTGAGCAGCAGTTCAGCTGAGACCCATTCTGGATGAGGACACAGAGGCCTCCAGTCTGAGGAGACAAGACCAGCTGAGGATCTGGCGAAGTAAGGTAGCTGTGGCTTGTTCTGTCTCTCTGATCTACCAGCATTGACCCCAATAACTGGCCTCGGGTTTGAGTTTATTAATAAGAACTTTTAAGATTCATGCTACACACCTCCACCCATGTACAGATACCAACATAGCAACACATGTGCATACATTAATAAAAATTGTGAAAATAAAAAAATAGTTATGAAAACTCACCATCACCTGTCCAACCATAAGCCACACACATAGCTAAGTTTTACTAGTACAGTTTGACTGTTAGCTCAAAGATACTGCAATGAATGCTACTTTTCCCCTCGTATTTCCTTTAGCTCCAATGAAATCTTTTGCTTTAATTTAAAAAAAAAAAAAATTTTTTTTTTTTTAATTTTACATGTATGACTATTTCTCCTGAATGTATGAAAGTTACCAAATACAAATCAGATCCCCTAGAACTGGACTTACAGGTGGTTGTGAGCTACCATATCGGTGCTGGGAATGGAACCCAGGTCCTCTGTAAGAACAACAAGTGCTTTTTACTACTGAGCCATCTCTCTAGCACCCTACAATAAATGCTTAAATTTAGTAAGAAAGATATTTGACACAACAACAGAAAAGATAGTTAGTGGTGGTTAAATTTTAGCATAACAAGGTGTTTCCTTGTTCTATTGTCCTATAAATTCAGATTAAATGACTACTTTTCCCTCAGCTGCCCAACCACACAATGTATAAAAAGTCAGTAGCACTGTCATCCAGGGATTGAGACCTCCTGACACTGGGTTTGGTCAGTCACACTTGCAGTAGTGCATGTTGGCTTATCTAAGCAGAGACTCAAATAGGAGGCCGAAGGCTGAGGCCAGAGACATAGGCACCACCCAGGCTAGAAGGAACAGATAATGTCACACATTACAATGTATTTACTCAAGAGACTGCTTTTTCTCTTCCCCACCCCCCTCCAGCCTTCAAATCTAGGGCTGGTTCCCTTTACAAATGGAGAAAGAGGACCCTTATGGAATACAGTAACAGGCTCATCATTGAAACACTCACTGAGTCTGTGTACTGATTGATTCCTCTCATGCTCTTGCTCACTACATTAAAAAATCAAATAGACGAATTAAGACAGTGGTGAGAAGTGAGAGGCAATGACAGTCAAAGTCAAGAGACCATATGCTGTTAGACACCAGGAAAAGCAAACTAAGAATCTGAGCTATGCATCCCAACTTTCAAAAAAACAACTATCAAGTATAATATAAACACGTGGCTAATTTCCTTCCCTTACTTTTCAGTGTGCTCGGTTGGAGATAGACATCTAAGTGGATTCCAAAGGGTAACTATACTGTCAGATGAGATCAGCCAGGAAGCTCAAACCAAGGGAATCTTTCCTTTGAATAATCTAGTCATAACAATACAGTAAACTATCAAATGCAAACTGCAAACAAACTGAAGAGTAAATCTGAAAGGGGGGACAGTAAGACATGAAACAGGGTGAATACCAGCAAGGAGATTTTTCAAGACCCAGATAGAACTGTTATGTAGTGTCATTGCCACAAATCTTGAAACTGCTTTACTCCTTATTGAACTATATTAAGTAATGTAGGTCAATCATTTAGAAATGACAGTGTTATGTGTGAAGAACTGATTCTACAGTTTGGTTAAAAGTAAACATATTAAGAGTATACACAGTAAATTCTAGTTTCGTATGACAAGAACAATACCTTTCAATAATACCACATTAAGTTGATAATATTTAGGGGGCAGGGGGGGTCTCTCGTCACAAATGGCAAAACCAAATCTAACATATATTTCAGAACATCTATAAGAAGAAACATGACTATTTAGGCATCAAAATGGTTGACTCTGGTCAATTGTTATGGCAGGCCATAACATCTTTGATTATTACTACTCCTATTTAGAAAGTCTCAGTTCTGACTCCTCTGTGAAAATCAGGAGATTGTGAGTAGACTTACACTTGTTCCCATGTGGCAAACATTAGCAACCAAATTTGCAATGCCTGTTTCATGATGAATTCACTAATACTTTTAGCCTTGGGTACTAACCTTTTCCTCGACGGCCCTTCTTCAAAATCTGAAGAACTAACATCGTTGCTAGTAGAGGACACTTGGGATGCATCGTCCTTCTCATTCTCTGACTGCTCTGACGCTGGTCCTAACGCCTTAGACTGGTCATTACCAAGGAGCCCTACAGGTGAGAAAAGGACAAACACTTCAGTACAGTATTAGGAGCCGCATTTTTCCAGTCCACCTGTGTAACAGCTGACAGGAACAGAACAACACTGACAAGCACATACAAACCCTTAGGAAGGGTAAAGAAGAATTAAGCTTCATTCTATAAGGGAGTCAAAGACCTACCTAACAGGAAACAAGTAAGAGAAGGAAATCCAATGTAGGTGTGGGGGAGAAGAAGAGACACGGGAGATGGTGTTGGTACATAGACAGGGTGTCAATATGCAGCCCAGTCTGACCTGAATGCCTGATCCTCCTACCTCAGCCTCTTAAATGCTAGGATAAAAAACCTGACTAAATAAAGTACATTTTTTAATCATCTCTTGTGCCTAAAGGGTGGAAAAGTTAAAAGAAATGACAATTATCATGAAATCCAACTAGCTGTTTTTTAAATAAGTACCAATTAGTAAATGCTTACAAAATATAATAAAATCACTTTTGGAACTGCCGTTAAAACCAATCAATACCAGTCCCATGTAGAAATACCATTACCTCATAACCACATCTTAGAGTCAAACTAGAAATCCTAATGCAGCCATTAGTTTAGCTGGTAGAGAAATGGGTAGGATACTCAATCATTGGGGCTATACAAACTATACTTCAAAAGCCATACTATACTTCAAAAGCCATTAGAAATGTGACTGGGGCCGGAGTCCACTTCAATTCCTTTGTAAGAGAGAGAGACTGAAGAATAAAATTTGAGGCCCCTCCCTTCAAAAATGTAGTACATAAGTGTATGTGGCTAATTTTATCAGGAAAAAGTGAAAGGAAGAAGATTAAGTTTTCTACTGTGTTCACAGGGACCAAACATAACACACATGTTCCTACGTTTATTTAGCACTACACATGAAGAAACTACACATCCAGGGAACAGGCAGAGAAGTCAAGTCAGTGCAGCCCGGCAAGGAGAACAGGAAAGAATGAAATTACCTACCAACACAAAAAGATGGAATAGGAGACTACTTTAAACCAAGAAAAGTGCTGCTGGGTGAGGATGGGTAAGAAACGGTCTTCTGCCCTCTGAAGTTTGCCACTTCAGACTCAGGTGAGAATGTGAAGCTATTAGATTGCAGCTTTACTCCCGTCTTCCAGGAATTCAAGGCAGACACAGGAAGAAGAGCAGACTCTTCAATTTGAACTTGCCCCAGATTCACATGTCCCGTTCTACACAACTAGTTCTCCCTCCCAGATGATGCAAAGCTAGTTGAAGTCCATGTCTACTGTCAGTTAATGGAAGACCTATTGTTCCTGAGCCATAAATAAGCTAGGGTAAACCTATATAAGAACCCAGGCAACTGACTATGACCACAGGCAATATTTCAAAAATACCCAACAAATTCTATCTACCTTTTTTTCAGTAGTTCTATCAAGAGAAACTCAGCCATACCACTCTTGAACATATACCCAAGGAATGATCAATCATACTGCAAAGATACATGCTCAACTATGTTCATAGCAGCACTATTTGTAATAGCCAGAACCTGGAAACAACCTAGATGCACGTCAACCTTAGAATGGATTAAGAAAATGTGGTACATATACACAGGAGTACTACTCAGCAGAGAAAAACAATGGCAGCATGAAATTTGCATGGAACTAGAAAATATCATCCTGAGTGAGGTAACCCATACCCAGAAAGACAAACATGGTATGTACTCACTCATAAGTGGATACTAGATATAAAGCAAAGAACAATCAGATTGCAACCCACAGAACCAGTGAGGCTATATAGCAGGGGGGACCCTAGGACAACTGTGGCTTATAATAAGTTTTGGTTTTACTCAATTACTGAGCAAGCCTCAGTGAAACATTTCACTATTAGGATAAGAATTTATACTGTATCAAGCTGATGATTGATAGATAGATAGATAGATAGATAGATAGATAGATAGATAGATAGATAGATAGATAGATAGATAAGGTGCAAGGATAGATATAAACAAAATAAAGCAAAAAAAAACAACCAAGCCCCCAATTAGAGTAGGAAACGGTGGTGGTGAGGTGAATGTACACACCTAAAAGTCTTTAAAGGACCCCTCCCCACAATAGCTATTAAGCACAAATACTAGGGGCTACATGAGGAAATTGTATGCGATGTACTTTGGACTTTTAGCAGATCTTATGCACTCAGTGTGAGGCAAGAGAGAATGAAGCTGCTCTGATTCTAAGACAAGACTGAGCCATTAAAGGGAGTAGAAAGAGGTGCTCCATTATCCACTGGCATTCTCAAACTAGCACCATAGGGCACTTCAAGTTTTTCCCATTCCAAGTCCCACAAGCAGGACTAGAGAGCAGCATAGTTAGTGTTTGAATCAGACCTTTTATGAAGGAGAACTGACTTTATTCTGTACATGATCATGTTTTGAATTTGAGTACTCCCATCTTGTATAAAAATTATTCAGAAAATTACACGTACTTATAGTTTTCTATATGCTTGGATAAAGCACTCCTCATTCACTCCATTCTCTTTTTCACATCTCCAACTACTGCATTTAATTCCTAATGTTTTAGAATAAATCAGAGAGCCTGTCTGATCTAGGAGAGCTGGATCAGCAAAATAAACTATGATGCCAAAGGGCAGAATGGCCATCATGGCACCATTAGAGGGGCTAATGTGCGTTACCTTTTCTTCTGAGTGCCTAACACAGTCCTGTCAATGTTATCAATTATTATTTTTAGTCGAGAATAAATAATGCAACAGCATCCCCTCCCATACACACACCCCATTTTTAATCTTTTCTAAACCACCACCACCACCATTTTACTGCTAACACAAACATATGTTGGAGACAGGCGGTTAAACAGAGAGGGAAAACTCAACGGCCCTAACTAAGATCCAGCCAGCCTCTGTGCATTTGTTCTCAGCCATTAATATTCAGTAGGTTGAACTTAAATTAAACCAGTCTATTGTCTTTCACAAAAGCAATAAATATGAGCTGAAAATTCAGAATCACTGGCATAAAGACAGCTTGGGGGCTGGGCCTGCCACCTCAACTAGACACCATAAGCTGACAGAAGCAACGTGATACAGCCTGGACATTACTTGTCCACCACTACAGAACCCAGATAACCCCTCCAAGAAATTAAATACAACAGCAAGCTGCTACCAGGGACTCTGAAAGCTCAGTAGCTATTCATCTCATCTCCCAAATTAGCAACAAATGAAAAAGCTCCCAGCACCACACAAGGGTCTGGAACAGCAAAATGAATTCATGTTGGAAACTGGAGATACTGTGTGCATGGTGAGCCTTTTTCCATGTTGCCTTCACATAAAAACGTGTAGGCAAAGTGAAACACAACTTAGGCAAAGCCTCCTTCAACTAAAGAATTTTTAAGCAATCAATGATAACTCGAGATTACAAAACATATACATATAAACACAAGATATTTCTTTTTTAACACCTTGAAAAAATGTAGAGCCTATGATTTTATGTTTTAGACACAAAGAAGGCATGGCAGAATACAAAACCAAAGGAAAACTCTATCCCACAAAGACATGCCAAAAGGGTTAAAAAGAAATGAAAACAGAAGGGCTTTGAAGCTATGCCAATGTTTCTCAAACATCTGGAGCACACCAAACTTATTAGCATATTAGGGAGAGCCAATGTTTTTAGCTTTGTTGTACTAAAGTATGCACAAAAGGTAATTCTGTGTTACAGAGCCAATGCCGTCTGCCACCCTGTTACTGTGACACAAGGTATCATATTACATATTAAACAGTCAAGCATCCAAAGAGCTTTCTTTTTCAACAGCAATTTATCATTCTGTATGTGCCCATACATATGTGTTCACTTTCAGTTGGGAGGAAGATCATAATAAGTAGCCTCCTTGGTTAAGGCAGGGACCCTCTCTGAGGTAATCAGAATGCATGGTTTGCCGCCATTACTAGTGAAAAAACAGAGCCTTGGTTCCCTCAGACTTTGAATGAAACATTGGATTGTCTGCTTTTCAAACAGTACAGGCATTCTGATGCCGGGCCAGCTTCACATGTGAATGTGGATATTAACCCTCAACTGGACACATGCAGGTCAGCAGTGAACATCCAACAAAACAAGGAGGGTAGGGGTGAGCAGGGCAGAGTCTGAGAAGCCCAGCCCTGGCTTGTCCATTGACATGCTTATACCAGGATCCATACTGATGTGGCTGAGAACAAATGACAGTCATAAGGCAGGATCTAAATGACACTTATGGTCAACGAGGCGCAAATGAAAATGGCTTCATACCTCGGATTATAGGAAATAATTATCCTTCTCTCTCACGAGAACAACCCCTCAGCCAACTGAGACTCCCCTTTGTCTCAGATTTCCCATTTTAGTTTTTAAAAAAAAAAAAGTAATCAAAATCCCAGCCCCTATGGAACCTCAAAATAAATTCAAACTACAGAGGGGTAACACTGGATTTTGCTCATTTCTGTCACAATTTTTAATTTTTTTATATAAAAAAATATAGATAATTAATACTGATTTTATATATCAACAATTTACAAGAGACCTTACCTTTTCCCACCAATCTCAGTTCCCACAAACATAATCTTCAGAAATCTAAACCCCCTTTGCAAGGCGCATAATTTGATATGCTATGGCCCAACAAGGTGACAGCGAAAAATTGGACTACAGGTAGAGAACTGTTTCTGATCAAACAAGGCAGCCAGGGCCCCAGGACACCCGGGGCCTTTCCTCACTTTGAGCAATGTAAGAAAAGGCCTAGTGGCCATCTCAATACACTGTAGCAGGTTCACCAATAGTCTGGATGACTTAATCCCTGTGTGAAAGAGAGCCACATCACCCAAAGACAAAAGATACCCCTTTTCAAGCATCTTAACCAACAGTCACAAGAGGAAAGAAGGCTCCAACAACAAGTATCAACAAAACAAAGCTGATAGATGAAGATGAACTTTATATACATTTTTTTTTTTAATTTCTAGTTTTCAGAAAAATACTCTGAATCAGCCCAGAA